GGCGTCGCTGCAGCCGCCCGCTCCCAGAGAGCTGCCGCCGCTGGCACTAGAGCAGGAGGAGACCCCGCTGTGATCTGAACGCCGTGCCAGGAGGAGCTGTACCGACTCGGGCACCGGCGGGCCATGTTCCCATCGCCGCCGAGCCACTGGGTAGCCAGCCTGTCCGGAGCCACCCGTCCTTGCGCACCTTTCGGCCTCAAGCGGTGACCTGCGAGGCGGGAACGTGGGCTCCAAGACACATCTGGCCCCTCACGATGATTGCTGGTTCTGTGATGCCCATCGCACTCTGGTGACATCTGTTGAGTTGGTATCTCAGCTCAGACAGCTCAACCTCGTCTTGATCAACAGCGGCTGCCCACGTCTGGCCCTGTGCCTGACCCGTCTCCACAGACAAGGTCTCCACCGAGCTGCCCCTCTTGGTGTTGAGGTGGTGGCTGGCCGCCAGGATGGACCAGGGCTGGTGAGACCCCAAGGAAGCCATGTCAGGAGCCACTGTGGGCTGCCCTGGGCCCCCATGACCCCCATAGGGCAGGGAGGAACCTGGGGCTTGAGCCTCCAAGGAGAGAATGGCCAAGCGATCTGTGCTTGTCCTCGACCTCCTCCCACTGTGCTCAGGACTCAGAGATGTGGGTTGGACAGCCCTAGCCCCTAGAGCTGCAAAAGGTGTGCCACCTCCAATCCTCAAAGCCCAGGTTTGCCTGGAAAGAGTTCTCCTGCACCCAGGTCATGGAGGAAAACCCAGAGGGGCTGAAAGAGAGCAAGGGCCCTCCAGGAGGCTTTTCAGAAACAAACCACGCTCATCTCTGCTCAGGAAATCAACTGCTGTCGCAAGGTGGAGGTCTCAGGGTTGAGGCTGACAGCTCATTTTCAGGGGTCAGAGTGGTTGGCAGCACTTGGTGTTAATGCCCCACAGAGTCCCAGACAGAAAAAGCATTCTTTCTCCTTCACAATTTCACTTTTGAAGGAGCCAGTGAAAAAGTTTGTTCAAACACAAAAGCCTCTGGCTTCTGCCTCTAAGCTGCTCCTCTGACTGGAACCCATCTGCTGTCACTTAAATATAGGACTTCTGGTTTCCCAGAGCTGCTCTCCTTGCTTACAGATGAGACCCAAGCTGGTGCAACTCAGGAGCCTTACCTGGGTGCTCTACAGCCAAGTGGCCTGACTGCTCACACTGGGAGCTGCCTTAACCTGCCTAGACCAGGGGATGTAGGGTCTGATTCCCTCGGCAGGGTCAGAAGCTGGGTCTGGGATGGTGGTCCAGGCAGCTCCTGATTACCCATACTGTACAATGAGATACCAAAGCCAGCCATGCAGCAAATCCAGGGCAGATGTCTCTGAAGGAGCAGCCTTGTCTGGGCATGTGTGAACCGTACAGCTGGACATAGCTGCAGTGGAACTAGCGTTCAGACTAGACTGCATTGCTCTTGGGAATCCACCTTGCCCTTGGAGGGCACTCTGGGCACGTTTCAGACAGGAGAACCCTATTACTGTCACTTGTAAAACAGAATGTAAACAGTCCATGAATGTATTTCCTTAAGGAAGCTGTTGTAAAAATTTTTATTAGAGAATATCTATTTATTTAATACTGAACTTTGGCCTTTGTGGTACTGTAATGTACACAATTTAGAAAATTGCTTTCTCGCTTCTGTATTTTCTTGAAAATAATTGTTACAGCATTCAATGTACCGTATATCACTCATCTAAAATGAAAGGAAATTTAAAGAATTTCATCCAATTGAATTGAGGTGGATTTTATGCATGATGAGCTGAGTGTAACTGGCCAAACCCGATTATCACAGGTGATGTGTCTTAAGATGTCCCCCCAGATCCATGTGGCAGCACCTCTACATCAAGCCTATTACAGCCTCCAAGACCATTTTTTTTTTTTTGGTAGTACTAGAAATTGAACTCAGGGCCTCCCACTTGCCAGGCAGGCGCTGTGCCACTGAAACTACTTTCCAGACCCAAATGATCAACTGTGTTAAAATATTTCAAGGCATTTTGGATGAAAACTCTGTAAATGAAAAACCCAGAATTTAAGGAGCAGTCTCCTATAGGCAGATGTCACTCTGTATTTAACAATGACACAAACATGTATATTCCATGCTGCTTGTGGGGTGGCCCTGGCCATGTGAGGAAGCCACTGGGAATAGCTGTGAAGTGACCCCGGGTGCTGGGCACAATGGGTACCAGTCATACAGATGGAGAAGGGGTCAGGGGATACCTTGGAGGGAGCTGAGCAGTGGCCAGGATGTGGCAAGACAATGCCCACCAAGCCAGAGCCCGGAATAGGTAAGCAGGGTCTTGGCAGGTTGAGATGAGGACGTGGGGTGGCAAGGGGCTCTAAGCTGCCACTCTATGCTGGTGGAACCTCCAACAACAGGTCAGAAGTGAGGTCCAGATGTCAAGAGATAATTTTTAAAAATGTTTACTACGTTAAAACTGCACATCAGAGTCCCCAAACTATTCATAAGAGGAGTCTAACTAATGAATTCACAACCATCTCAAAGCAATGAACCAGAATGTAACAACCCCATAGGAGGCTCACAAGGTCAGTCGTGGTCCTGGAGGCCTGGCAATGGGAGCGATCCTCTGGTCTCTTCAAGCTCCAGTGGCTGCTGGCTTCTCTGGCATGTAGATACTTCCTTCTAACCCTGTCTCTATGACCTGCATGCCCTCCCACTGTGTCCCCACACGCGGCCTGCCCACTGCTATGTGACTTTGTCTCAACCGTACCTGCACTGATCCCATTTCTGAACAAAGTCATGTTTGAGGTCCAGAGATTAAGACCTCAGCCCTCTTTCCAGGGTGCAATTTGGCCTACTGAGAAGAAGGGATGAGCAGTGGTAGCTGTTTCTCTACCTCCCTTTGGCTCTGCCAGTCCATGTAGGGCAGCCATGGGGAAGCACCTTTCCCGCCACTGTGGACTCTGTCAGCAGACTGGAAAGACAGAGGGCAGGAACTCTTGGACCCCTTTCTCCACGTTCTCTGCAACTCACTGGATGCAACTGAGACAAAGGAACTTTCCTGGCTTGGCAGACACTTTTCTGCTGGCCTAGGGAGGATGAACTGAGCCATGGGACTCGGGGACGCAGACAGCAAGGACGACAATGCTTCCAGGCCAGGCTTCCAGACAAGTGCCCTCTAGATGGCTTCTGGCAGTAACCGCCGGGCCATGCTGTGCTGGAAACAGACTCCAACCTTCCTCACGGATGGGCTTGCCCAGGCCTGCAGGCAGGTGTCCCCTCCAGAGCAGCTTGGAGATGACCTACCCCGGGTGTCAGGATGGACACTACCCAGGTACCACGAAACAGAGTGCGCTTCTCATGGCTGCCAGCACATCTTGCCTCCAAGGGCACAGACACAAATGTGCTCCTGTCTGTCCAGTGCCAGTGCTGTCATAATGGACCCACAGTGACCATGGCCTATATCCAAGCACACAAAAGAAAAAGCCACAGGGCACACTGCTGTCACCTGGATGTCCACACTGGGCCCTCCTTCCAGAGGTCCAAAAAGGCTTTGTACTGTATGATAACTAATGATGGCTGGCATGGTTGGTTCCAGTTCAAGTAAGTTATACCCACTGCAGGCTGGACAGACGGCAAACCACAAGCAGCAGCTGGAAGTCACCAGGGTGACTCTGTCTCTTCTGAGACTCCTAGATCACTCTGCAATTTTCACATAATTCCATTCTGAGACAAAGGCTTGTTTGTGAATTTTCCTTAGCTTGTGAGGATGAAATAAAAGTAGACAGAAAGGTGGAGAGAAAACATGACACTCATCCACACCTGCTCAGAGTGGCCGTGTGGTATGCAGTCCACACACCAGTGCACGACGTTCCCAGGATGCGCCCTGCCATGCTCTCCACCTCTCACCAACTTGGGCGTCTAGAGATGGGGGATGACCCTTTGTGTACACAGGGAGTCAGGGCAAAGGGACACGGGCTATGTCTTTCCTCTCACAGCACTGTCAGCACTGCTCTGTTGAACAGATGTGCAGAGTCTGCAAGGACCCAGGGGCTCACTGCTCATTCTGGGTGCGATTCTCTTAAGCACTGTAGCTTAAAGATTATTGAACAAAGTATGGCGATACACATCTGTAATTCTTATTACTGTGGAGGCTCAGGCAGGAGAATGCAAGATCAAGGCCAGTCTGGGCAATTATGAGAGACTCTGTCTTAAAATAAAAGGGCTGGGTATGGAGGTCCATAGTAGAGCACTTGCCTAATATGCTTGATACCCTAGGTTTAATCTATAGTACCACCACCACCAACAAAAAAACATTTAAGATCAATGCAAAATGAGGCTACCATTGAAGGCAGATGCTATAGAGGCAAAGCTAAGTTAGAGAATTATTTTAGTGATTTTGGAGCACAAATAAGCACAACATACAGACCTTGAGACAGTCAGAAAAGCCAGGGTGGAACTGGGCCCAGCAGCTTCTGGGAATGGTATGTTATCATCAGGCCTAAACTGTCTGGCTTTTGCTTCTTTTTAATCAGGTGACAAAGATCCTGAGGG